ATTTTCCTTTGACTTCCAAACACATACACACAACAGTATAAATAAATGTAATGAAATAGAATTTAAAAATGTTGCTTCCAAAAGAAAAGAGAAATCTTGCTGCCATTTTGGGGTAGTTGGATAAAATCTGGCTGCCTCTTGACTAGTGGTTTTTAGTTTCATCATAGTTATGCCATCTGTGGAATGTGCTCTCCAAGTGATTCTACTTCTGTGGTTGACCAATGTCTGCCACAAAGAAAACTTGGAAAAATATGGTTGTTCTAGAACATGGGATTGAATTTCTTCTTACTCTTCAACTCAGCAGTTTCTCAAGATAAAAGAGGATGTCTCCATGACTGTTTCTTTTATCTTTGTTCTGACTGTCAACAATCAACCTTTAAAAACAAAAGTTGATATTTGGAAATCTTTCATATATGTGTGTATGTAGTGGGTAGCTGTTCCAGCTTTGACCTGGAAGTACTACTCCCCAGTGAGGCTTCCAGTAACTGTCACGCCTACCTATGACCTGCCCCTTAGGCGGGGCTGAGACAGGAGTCCTTAAGATTTGAGATCCAGATGTGATGGTTCTCTTGGTTCCTGGTGACCCTGGACGCTGGATGTAGACCAAGCAGAGTTCTCCAGAGAACACCGCTGGACTGCACGTCACCTCTCCCGGATCCTATAACCTATCCCTTCACTTGTAAGTTACCCCAAAATAAACCTCCCTTTTAACTATGTGGAGTTGCCTCAGTAAATCCTCCAATATGTGTATATGCACACAAAGTACATGAAAATTAAAAAAAAAATTATGTGTATGAGTGCCTGTACCTATGTACCCTTAGAGACTAGAGGAGGATGCTGCATCCCCTGGAACTGGGGTTACAGATGATTCTGAGCTGCCATGTGGGTGCTGGGAGTTATCTGGGGTTCTCTGTAAGAGCAGCAAGCATGCTTCCCTAATGAGCTATTTCTCCAGCCCCACAAAAAATTATTGTAAAGCATGTATTCAAAATAAATACTTAAAAAAGTTTTTTTTTTCTTATTTTCCATCTCTTTCCATCTTTACCAGATAAGTATGTAGTAAGAGGGCAGGGGAAACTGTTTCCTGCTTCCAAATAATAAACTAATTAGATAACGTCTATATCTTCAGCACTGAGTTTTATTATTTCCATCTGATTTTGTTATAATAGAAAGAAATACTATGTAGTGGGCAGTATTGTGCATTAATTCAGAGTGAAACCTTGGACTCTGAACGTCCTATGTTCAAACTCACATGGAAGAAGCCAAGAATCCAGTAGTTGCTCAGTCCACAAGGTGAGATGTTTCAGCAGTCAAAATCTGGTGCTGAAGGCCTGGAGCATTCCTGGGGAGCTGCTTGTTTTCAGCCTACATTGGAAGCCCAAAGAAGTTAGATATCAGCAACAGGACAGATGAACTTGTCATTAAGAGTGAGGGCAAACAGGCAAAAAGCAAAGTTTCCTCCCACATCCTTGTATCTGGGTGCCACCAGAAGGGTACTGTCCACATTTTAGGCTTCAAATAATCTGATTTAAAAAAAAAAAGTCCTTTATACGAATACCCAGTGGGTTGTATTTTAGATGATTCCAAATGAAATCAAATTGACAACCAATATTAGCTATCACATTCTCTGAACACCATATGCCCTTTACAAGCCTGACAAAGGAACCAGGGCTTCATGTATGGAAGGACTGTACCACCGAGCTACACCCATAGCCCCATTCTTATCATGTCCTTAAGAAAAAGCTTGGAGTAGGAGAATATTTGTGTGAGATGTTTCTGGGAAAAGGACAGTTTAGCATTCCTAAAATTCCACTCCACTGAGTTGCTGCCAAAGAATCCCATTACTCACTCCCACATGATCACATATGAGATCAGTGAAGTCTACAAAACCCAATCTGACTTCATTTGTAAGTATTTATTTTGAATACATCATTTACAATATTTCTTTGTGGGGTTGAAGAAATAGCCCAGCAATGAACACAGGTGATGGACTTGGGGGTGAATATGGGTTGGGACCTTGTTGGAGTAGGTGTGGTCTTGTTGGAGAAGATGTGTAACTGAAGGTGGGCTTTGAGTTTTCAAAAACCGGGCAGGCCCAGTCTTGTTCTTTCTGCCTGCTTCCTGCTGATCATGATATAAATCTTTCAGCTACTGCTCTAGCACTCTGCTCCTCACCATTATAACAGGCTGACCCTCTGAAGTACTTGAGACCCCAATTAAATACTTTTATATGGGTTACCTTGGTCGTGGTGTCTCTTCACAGCTGCAGAACAGTAACCAAGACAGCGAGTTACAATATTATGTGAGACTTCCATTATTATCCTGAAATATGGGTTTCCTATCACCACTATTTTTTTTTAGGTAGGATTTCACCAATGGCTGGCCTGGAACTTGCTACGTAGAACAGGCTGGGCTTGACTCACTTGCCAGGTGCTGGGATTAGAGGGTGATGTGTCACTACACCCAGCTTCAGACAGGGTTTATTTGTGTAGTTTTGGTGCCTGTCCTGAATCTTGCTCTGTAGACCAGGCTGGACTCGAACTCACAGAGATCTGCCTGGCTTGGCCTCCCAAGTGCTGGGATTAAAGGCGTGCACCACCACCACCACCACCACCACCACCACCACCACCACCACCACCACCACCACCACCCGGCCAGTGATGGCTAATCTTGGTTGTCAACTATATCTGGAATGAACTACAATCCAGAAATGGAGGGCACACTTATGATCCAGACCTTGAGGCTGGGAGGCACACCTTTAATCTGGGCCATACCTTCTGCTGGAAGCCTATATAAAAACAACAGAAGAAGGAAGGGTTTGTTCTTCACTCTGCTTGCCCTCTCCTTGTCAGCACATCCTTTTCCTTCACTGGCATTGGAGTCGGCTTCTTTGAGATTCCAGCACATATAGAAGACCAGCTGAGACATTCAGCCTCGTGTCTGACACCCAGACTGAGCAACTACTAGATGGGCTTTTCAAGAATTCACAGCTAGCTATTGTTGGATTAGTTGGACTGCAGCCTGTCAGTCATTCCATGACCCAGCATTAGCACTTTCTACCATAGATGATCTCATGAATCCTGAACAGCACAGCTTAGCCTTTAGTCTAAATACCTCGTCTAGGAGTTTATTTTTAAAAAGATGTACATTGTGTTTGTCTGCACCTATGAGGAAGTTGGAGAAGTTTCTTTTCCATCTGTATGGCGAAATGCTATTTCAAGTCTTCTATCAGTCACTAACTCAAGGCAAGCATGCCGGGGCAGGTTACTTCACACTGTTTCATTGGGAGGGGTGGATGGGTGCCGTGGTCACCCCTCAGTGGATTCCCCGTATTTCATCTAGCTCTGAAGGGTCACTCCGGGTCATCTTGATCAGCCAACCGTCTTGGTAACAGGATTTGTTGATGAGCCCCAGGTTTCCTGAGCCCCCATGTTTCACTGACTTCAATCACCTCTCCCGACAGAGGAGGGTGGCCAGTGGCAGTCAGGAACCTGCCTGACTCCATTTTGAAGGCAGGAGATGTTATTGCTGTTATTAAACTTATTGTTAAAAATAAGGTTCTGTTTACTGTAAGAGCTGAGTTGCTCTGTCTCCTGAAACCTGACCCTCTCCAACCCATGGCCTTGACTTGTTTTTGAGAATACCCTTACCTTCCCTGACCCCTCCCTAATAACATGGTGACATGTTTTTTTTCTGTATTTCCTTATTGCCACAGTGTGTCTTTTCTTCAAAACTATTAGTGATTTTACTCCTTAAAAGGGGCCCAAGAAATGGATTCGAGGCTGCTCCCTTTAACCTGACTTAGGAGGCAGACTGGCCAACTCTTGGGTGCACTCCAATTTAAAAAAAAAAAATCCAAGCTTGCTTCAAATTTGGCTCAAATTGTGGTAGTGGTTGTATTCTTGCCGTGGTAGTGGTTGTATTCTTGCCGTTGGGATGAACACAACACCAATGTGGGCACGAGACTAATTCAATCACTGTTTCCCAGGTTCATAAGCTCTTTCTTTCAAATCAATAATAAAAATCTTTTCCAGGGCTGGTGAGATGGTTCATCAGTAAAGATGCCTGCCTGATGCAGCCTGAGTTTGATCTGGTACCTGCATGGCTGATGGAGAGAACCAAATTGTAAAACTTCTCTGACTTCCACACACGAGACATGCACACGCGCGCGCACACACACACACACACACACACACACTGTCTGGGAAAAAAAAAAAGCCTTGCTGAATAATGTAATATTTTGAAATCAGGATTGTCAGGGTTTGTTAATAGATTCACTTCCTTGGGAGAGCTGGTAAAACATCAAGTGGAGATGAAGAGGCTTTTCAAGGGAATGTGACCTTGTCAGAACTCCTTGGCTAAGAAAAAGAGCAAAAAAGGAGAGCATCATCTGTATGCAGCATGTTATCATGTAGAGAAGCAGCAAGGAGCTGGGGTGCAGTGCAGTGGTACAGTGCTTGCTTATCACGCACTGGATCCTGGGTTCTATCCCTGACGGGCAAAAAAACAACAAAAAAGGACAAGAAGTAGTGAGTATAGCATTACTAAGAAGAATATACTTCATAAAACAAAACAAAAAAACCAACAAGCACATGTCTTCTCCTAGGTGTTATAAAAGATTCAGTGAACACAAGCAGCAGCATTGGCAATCTTCTGGACAAGAGACATTTTGCATCACTTTTGTCTGTGTAGAAAGCAATCACAGGAAGATCTCAACTGTCACTTAATGTGGCTTAAAAATATTTATGGCCGGGTTGGGGATTTAGCTCAGTGGTAGAGCACTTGCCTAGCAAGCGCAAGGCCCTGGGTTCGGTCCTCAGCTTGGGAAAATAAAATAAAATAAAGGTGTGAAAAAAATAATAAAAAAAATAAAATAAAATAAATTTATGGCCAATATTTTACAGACTACTCAACATCTTTATCCACTAGGAAATGCAAAGTAAAACTCCATTTTTCCCCAGTTAGAATTACTGTCGTTAAGAAACAAAACAAAATGAACCGTGGTATTCAATAACATATATTAAAATTGGAACAATATAGTGAAGATTGGGATGGCCCTACACAAGGATTACACACAAATTTATTAATTGGTCCATATTAAAAAACAATAACACAAACCTCAACAAAAGCTACTACAACAATGGCCATGTTAATTACTGCTAAGCCTGCTGACCTGGGACCCACATGGGAGAAGGAGAGAATCTCTGCCCACAAGTTGTCCTGAGGCCTCTACCCCATGCTGTGGGCTCCCATACATAAATAAATGTACTTAAAAAAGTGTTAAGTTGGGCTGGATAGCTCAGTGGTTAAGAGCACTGACTGCTCTTCCAGAGGACCTGGGTTCAATTCCCAGCATCCACATGACAGCTCACAAGATCTGACACCCTCACACAGACATACATGTAGGCAAAACACCAATGCAAGTAAAATAAAAATAAATTATTTGAAAAAAAAAAAGAAAGAAAAAGTGCTAAGTCATCTCTCTCTCCAGTCCCTTCTTTTTTCTTTTGAAGCAGATCTTTTTATTTTGTGTGTCTAAGTGTTTGCCTGCATGCATAGAGGTAAATCACATGGGGGTCTGAGGAGACCAAAAGGGCATGGAATCCTTTGGAATTGGAGCTATTTCCAGTTATGAGCCCTAGTGTGGGTGCTGGGAGCCGAACCAGTGTGAGAGACAAAGTTACATTTTAAGTTTTAATAACTATGCCTTGAAGATCCATGAGACAAAAAATGCCTCGTATCTGCAAGCCCCTTGCCCAAGGACAGATAGTTGCTGAAATGCTGGAGGTTATTGTTTATGGGAAATATAACAAGCCACATGTTTTCACTGCCCTGAACAAGTCTGACCCATTTGCACCAGATCACATGTGGGTGGGAGGTTCACAGGCAGGAAGTACATCAGGATGTGCACTTGTCCGATTGGAGGAAGCCTGGAGGTAAGTCAAGAAGTATGCTGGCCCCTGATTGGACTTGATGGGAAATACTTAAACTGCTGCTAACTATGAGACTCCAGGCCATTTTTTTCTGGGAAAAAATGGGAAACCAGAGATGGATCTGGCCAGAGCCCATTCACCTGGCCAGTATTTAATTAAAGCTTGTTCTAAATCTGGCTTTTAATTGTGGTAGTAGTCTTGTTCTGGATCAGTTGGATTAACACCAGAGCAGAGGTACTCTTAACCAGGAACCATCCTCCAGGTCCAACAAACAGACTCACCTTTTTAACAAGCCTATTCTGTTTGTGCAGCAGTGGCAGATACCTTTAATCCCAGCACCTGGGAAGCAGAGCCAGGTGGATCTCTGTGAGTTCAAGGCCAGCCTGGGCTACAGAGTGAGATCCGGGACAGGCACCAAAACTACACAGAGAAACCCTGTTTCAGGGGGTGGTGGGGTGGGGAAAGCCTATTCAGTAATAAAAATCAAATCAAATCATCACAGCCGGGTGGTAGTGGTGCATACCTTTAATCCCAGCACTCAGGAGGCAGAGGCAGACGGATCTCTCTGAGTTCAAGGCCAGGTCTACAAAGCAAGTTCCAGGGCAGCTAGGACAGTTACACAGAGAAACTGTGTCTCATAAAATATATACAACTCACTTTGTAGACCAGGCTGGCCTCATAAAACTAAAATAAATAAAAAGTCTATTCAGTGAGTGCAGGCATCAAGCCCATAGGGAATGAAATTCCACCAGTGACTAAGGAGTCCCATAAAGGCCTGCTTGTCCTTTACTGTACAGAACCAGTCACAGCACTGTACTCAGTAGTAAATGGGATTTCAGCCCCAGCTCTGGGTATGTAGAAAGTTTCAAAAACAAGTTGTTAGGGGCACAATGCAGGCAAGCACTGAACTAACCTGGTTGAAGCCTACACATCCATTAACTGCTAGGCCTCAGGGCCATGCCCACTCCCTGCCAAGGTTTAACTGGTCCTTGTTTTTCAGGACTTGGTTTCTCTCTGCTCTGCCTCTCCCTATATCTCAGCCCAAGGGAGTTTGAAGGAACTGAGCAAAACCTTTCCTCTCAGAGGTCACCTTGGGGCTGCACCCTCTGCCAGCTCCATTTCTGCTCCAATCCATGGCTATATTGCCCAAACAAAGGCACAAGTGTTGCTTCCAGGTCCAGCTGGTGTCTGTGTCTATTTTTCTCTCTCAACAGTGTCTTACTACATAGCTCTTGGCTGGACTGGAACTCAGGATGCAGACCAATCTGGCCTCAAATTATAGAGATCTGCCTACTTCAGCATCCTAGGAATAAAGGCATGTACCATCATGCCTGGCTATCTGTGTTCTCTGATGAGGCTGGGGGTGGGGTAGGGGAGGTGGTCTCAGTAGGCTGGCCTCAAATTCCTGAGCTGAAGGGAGTTTTTCTGCCATGGTCTCCTGCATCGCTCAGTCTGTAACACATTTTCTTAAGCACCAACAGGTCTCAGCTATGGAGGGGCAGTCGTAAAAGAGTCTGCAACTCCACCTCACAACCCAATTGAAAACCCCAAAGGCAGCGTTTAACAGAAAAAGAATAGTCATAAAAACATAACATACAGTTAAATGCATTTAATAGAAACATCAATCATTATAGTTCCTTATTGCTGGTCACAAAAAGCATATATGTCTTTTATAATCAAAGTAATTTTTACCATGCAAAAGGCATTTTTATTATATTCATATGAACAGACTAGATTCCAAAACAAGTTTGTACAGACTTCAAAAGGCAGAGTAGGCCCAAAGAAAAGGTGGAATTTATTTAAATATTACTAAAATTATATTGGATGCCACTTGGCATACTCATATTCACAGTTTATGAAGTTAAAAAAACTCAACTTCTAAAGTCAGCTCTGAGATAGATGCGTTTAACCAATACATTCACTAGTTAGGTCTGTTCTAACCTAGGAGGAGCAAACACGGAGAGAGAGAGAGATAGCTTTAAGAGAACAAACCAACATGTCAGCAGCAAATTTCAGTTAAACTGGGTTGGAAACCAATATTCATAGTGACTTAAGTACAGTCCAGTTTCTAACTGAGACTGAAAATTAGAGAATAAACTGTAAGTTTAATAACTCCAGAGAGCACTACGTGGTTATTTATTAACAAATTACATATTAAAATATAATCCCAAAATTTGATTTAAGAGCACAATTTTAATCTAGTCAATAGATTATTTCCAGAGACATAAAGGCAAGTAACACTCTCCCAGCTAGGCTCATTCACCAACAGCGCTCCTAAGCCCCTCTGGGGGCCATGCGTAGGGAACAAGCCTAGCTGAATAACACTGGAAGCACCAGGTTCACGTAGAGATTTAATGCTGAGTAAGACAGTCACTGTTCTGAGATGCAGGGGATTCTCCGAACAGACTCATGGCTTATGAGGAGTGGCAGGCAGCACATTAAGAGCCTGGAGACAGCAGGGGAACACATCAGCTGGGGTGGGGCCATCTGGGCAATGTCAGCGACACATCACCAGTACCAGGGTAAGTTTTGAAATAACAAGTGGGTGGGGGTGTATTTTAAAGCAACTGACTAAATTGCAATTTAACTTAGCCTCATAATTAACCAAAGCATATTTACTTCATAATCCCTTCATAAACATGTCAACCTTACCAAGAAAGCATTTCCTTAATCATCAAACATTATTTTAAAAGCTTAAACTCCCCAGTTGGTATGGTACCAGAATTCAGTTCAATTTCAAAATTCACAGTACTACTTAGAAATGAGTGGCTCCTGGGGTTCGAGTGCAGGAATGAACTGTTTTCTCTGGGCACGGGAGATCTCAGAGACTGAGGCCACGGTGCGGAGTTAGAGGGCTGTGGATGACTGGTACCATTACTTCAAGCTGTTGTCCTTTTCCTACAAGTTGAGATTCTAAATACATCTGCTATACATATATACAATCATCGGAGGATGTGAACAGATATGCACACTTCCTGACCAAATAATGATAACCATTTTTTTTTCCCCAAATGAATTCTGTTTAAAGAATTTCCTTTCCATCAGTCTATCGAAGTCCAGACCAACTGTGCAGATAGGATGCCCATCCAGAGGAACGGGAAGCACTTTCTTCCTCACCTGTGGAGATTAAAGAAAGAAATCACCAAATCTTACCAGTGTGAAATCACTGTACAACATAAGGAATTATGTCTATTTCATTGGCTATAGGAACTATAAAAGACATTTAATTATTATTTTGAGTTTCTGAGCATGGTACTGGATGAAGACCAATAATGTGATGACAGATACCTGAACAATACCCATTGTTGAATGGAGCATTTTTTTTTTTTAAACTTATGTGAATAGAGGCAGATAATTTCTTCTTCTTCTTTTTTTTTTTGGTTTTTGTGTAGTTTTTGGAGCCTGTCCTGGAACTCACTTTGTAGACCAGGCTGCCCTCAAACTCACAGTCAGTTTGCCTCTGCCTCTGCAGTGCTAGGATCAAAGGCGTGGGCTACCACTGCCTGGCCTGCAGACTTCTTTTTTATCCTATTTGAAATCATTGGAGCTTGAACCTTTAATCAGTCTTAGAAAAAAAAATCTCTTTACTATCTCTGTCCTATTCTTTTTCTTCTGCTTCTTTTAGGATTTTGAAAACTTATCGTCATTATTTTGAGTATGAGGATTTCATCTGCATACGTGCCTGTACCACACCACTATGGTGTGGCACCCGTGGAGGCCAAAAGAGGGCACTGGGTTTCCTGGTATAGTTACAACTGGTTATCAGCTGCCCTGTGGTTGTGGGAACTGAACCCAGGTCCTCTGAAAGAACAGTCAGTGCACTTAACCACTGAGCCACCTTTCCAGACCCTAGAACTTTATTACTATTAAATGATGCCATTTATTAAAAGTGTGTACGCCAAAATGCGTACACTATTTCAGACTAACCCAGGTACCACTGACCAGCCACAATCTCTTCAATTCTCTTCTCCAGAGATAAGTTGCTTCTTTCAAATCAAATCAATATCCCTTTCTAATCTACAAGACTAGTCACAAGCCAAGGGGCCAGTGAAAAGCATTTTTTCTTTTTCTTTTTTTTTAAATTTTTTTTTTTTTTTTTTAAGACAGGGTTTGTTTTTGTAACAGCCCTAGCTGTTCTGGGACTCGCTCTGTAGACCAGGCTGGCCTCA